ACCCTCGGCGGGAGCACCGCCATGCTCCCAAGCGGCGCACTGTAGCAGTGCGCCACCGGGCAGGCCCAACCCTGGGTTTGGATCAGGGCACCGAGACTCCCTTGGGTCTGGTTCTTACATGGGTTTGGTTTTTTTTGGCAGCTGGCTGGTATGGGGATCTGAACCCTTGACCTTGGTGTTATCAGCACCATGCTCTACCAACTGACCTACCCAGCCGGTCCCTTACACAGGTTCTTAACCTTTGAGCCTCAGCTTGCTCATCCATGCAGTGGGGATGATGACGATGATAATAGCGAGTATTTCCTGAGTGCTTTTCTACACGCCAGATGCTGTTCCCAGTGCTTGCCATGTGTTCACTCGTTTAATCTGCACTGTAGCCCGTGAGATGGGTAGACACTGTTGTAATTCCCATTTTACAGATGGGGACACAGAGGTTCAGAGAGGTTAAGTAGCTTGCCCCAAGTCACACAGCTAGTGAGTGCTGGAGCCGGGCCTCAAACCCAAGCTGCAGACCCCGTTCTCTACCACAGTTCCCTCTCTGTGACACTGCCAGCCGTGCCAGGAGTGTGAGAGTGAGCGGGCTGTTGTCGTGTAGGTGCTATCACAAGTGCCTTCTTTTCCATTTCCCCAGGTATATCGGGGTCCCTGTCTCCACATCCCATGCCTTTTCTCCTACCAAGTTGCCCCAAAAGTGAAGTCGTTGCAGGTCCATGGAGGGGCCTCCATTTATGAAAGGTCCTCAGAGCTCATAGGGTGCCCTGGCTTTCCAGGCTGGTTTTGCCCGGAACCCATTCTTCAGATGAACTTGTACGTAGAAGTGTAACAAATACAGCCTTCTCTGTTGGAGCTGGGCTGGGAGCCCGAGCAGTTTGATAATCAGACTTTTTAAAGGAGGAAACTGAGGTCCAGAGAGGTCAGATAACTAGCTCAGAGTCACACAGTGCTGCTGACAGGCTTGGGGCTGCAATCAGTCAGTCTGTGGGAAGTGGGCACCCAGTACAGGCCGGGTGTGGAGCTGGGCCCTGGGCATGAAGCCGTGAAGAAGAAAGCCAGCGCCCTTGCCTGCAGCGGGGACAGGGGACGTTAAATACTGAACTGCAGGGGTGTGGAGGAGTGGAATACTTGATGTGGAGGGTCAGGGAGGCTTTGTGGAGGACGTGACATTCAGTTGTGCTGGCAGATGGATGGGAGGTGGCTTAGACAGGCAGAGAGGCCCAACAGTGGCCAAGACCCTGAGCTGGAAGACCGTGTGGCAAGGACAGAGAGGGTGCAGGAGAAGGTGGCTGAAGATGTACCTGAAGGAGTAGTGAAGGCCAGGGGCCTGCATATTTTAAGTACACTGGAGAGCCGTGGAGTTTATTCAGTGGGAGTGACGTGGTCAGAGAAACACTTCAAAGATCACTCGCAGTTATGGGGAATGAATTGGAGCAGAGCAGGAGAGGAAGCAGGAGATAGGACCTGAGGG